TCAGGAAAAGCTTTCCTCTCGTGTCACACCTCCAAATCAGCCGATGCACAGATCATTTAAAACAAGAGGACACAATGTCTGAGAGGGTCATAGTAAGAGTCCTTGAGATTGTTGCTCATGTCAGTCTATCTTGGTAAGTGCAGAAGGCCAGAGACCTTGGAGGAATCTGAAGTGTCGGCCTCCGAAAACAATACAAGATCAAGTACATGCAAATATAGCCTCCAAGAGTGAGATCCAGGACCAGATCAGAATGTCAGAGTTGATAACAAGGGAAGAATTTGGGGAGATTACAAAGATGGTGGCAGAGACATGGCAATAGAACTAGACCCCAAGATGCTCCAAGACACTGTGTTACAAGTTCAGGAGATAGCCCTAGCTGCCTGGGTGAAGGCACAGAACTCTGGAACGAGTCTGGAATCCAAATTACGCAGATTAGTGGAGCATCTGAGGATCAGAGGTGAGCATTCACATCCAGAACTCCAAAATTTAAATCACAAACTAGATGAGATCATTTCAGTGCTCATGGATATTTTGTCCAGGTTGCCATCTGTTGAAAAAAAGCTATCTGCACTTAATCTGTCATCTTTTGTCTCCACTAAGGTACAACAAGGAAATGTTGACCTACATTCTGCAGTTAATCTGGCACCAACCTCAAGCTCCATCCTCAGCTTACCCGGTCTGCTCCTGCTCCTCTTCCTCCCTATTCTGATCCAGAGTCAACTGGGATGACTTTTAAGGCATCACTCCAGGAGGAATATGGTTCAAGTTTTCTTCCCCACCAACCAGTATTAAAGAAATAAGGAAATGCCTGGTTTCAGTTGCCAGGTCTGAGCTATTACATATTCAGGCCAAGCTTATTTGCTGCAAGGGCCTTGACACTGAAACAACCTGGGGTGTCTTTCAAGATTGGAATTTTCAATATAAACTTATACCTCCACCTTAATGGAGTAGTACCCTCTTGACCCTTATGATAAATGGTGGTATCAAGGGTAAGGAAAACCTGACATCTGCGCACTTGGAAGGCAGATTTACAAGACCCAGTGTGTATGTGTTTTCAGGAGACTGCTGTAAAAATAGTGCTGTCCTTTCATCCTCTTCACATTTACTGCTCCTTTGATGACTGCAGCATTTGTACACAGGATGACATTGTGAAGGGGAACTTTTCTTTGGGCCAAGATCACAACTTGTATTTGATACTCCTCAACATATTGTGGAGTACACAAAGAAAGAAGTGGGTGGAATACTTCTCGTGGTACCTCCTCATGTCATGACTGATGAGCTGCACACTTCCTTCCCTTTGTACGAAAATTACTGCTTTACCGACAACCAGTTTAAAATAGACTCTTCATTGACAAAGAACAGCAGTACCTCCTGGATTTACTTGCTCCAATTGTTGACCATGTGACAGTGTTAGCAATTATGGGTTCTTGGTATCTACAGCTGTTAATGGCTCAACTGCTGACAGACCAGGCACCGTTCATCTGCCATCTACAGGGATGGAGAGAGTTACCAGCCTGGTCAACGGAGACTTTGTACTATACAGGTCATGTTCAGAGGTTGATGTTGAATTTGAACCATGGATAAATAAGACCTTGTTTCCCCCAGTAATTTACAATAACTGAAGCTCTTTTGTAAACCCATACACTGCAATAGTGTATGCTTCTTCCCCCTTAGTATCAAATGTTCTTATCAAGGCTGATGACTGTTATTTCCTTGGGGTTTCCAGCTCATCTTCTTTGCCTAAAGAAATTCAGTCTCCACAATCATTAGAACTAATTAATGTCAAATTCCCTGATTCAGATGTAATAGAAGACTTAGGTACACATGCCCACCTGACAGATCCTACTGCCATTGCTGTTGGGCCACAATTTGATAAAGCATGAGGTTTTGGGTGCTGCTGTCACTGTTGCCGCTATAAACTCTATTGGGTTTGGTTACATACATTCTTTGTCTCCTCTGATTGTTCTGAACGACATTTATATAAAAATCGCCCAGTTTGGTGGATTTCTCTTCTTTATCATACCCTGCATCAAGGTTATTGGCATGTCATACATGCTTATTACCACTGCCCAATTCCCTGCATCCTTCCCTGCTCTGTCACACTTTAAAAAAAAAAAAAAAAAAGAAAAGAAAAAAGATAATGCAAATACCTGGCTTGAGTGGACACAGGAGGCTGATTTCTGGCCTTTTCCCCACAAATGCCTATTTTCCTAATTATGTCTTGGCCTAAGCTCAGAATCGTACACCACCTAAAAATGCAATTATATCTAGAGCTAAAGTATAAACCAGGACCCAAGGGTTGTGGGGTTTAAGTGAAATTGTTTCAAGCAGCATATATTTTAAATTGGGAGAATATCAATCTGAATTTGAAATTAACAGCTGACTTGCTTTCTCTTAAAAAAAAATTATGAAATGTGAAAAAGCAATCAAAACATTTTAAATACATTCAGAATCGCATCAAATTTCTTTCCAGGAGAGACAGGGTTTAGAAACAGTATTTTCTCGTGGCTCCTGACATTTGTAATTACTATAGATGGCTTTCATTTCATATCTTATAAAGATATCTTATAAAGAAGAGGTCACAAACTGGCAGCCAGTAGGCCAAATTAGGTCCATCTGTGTATTCTGTTGGTCCTGAATTCACTGTAGAAAAATTTTAAAATGAGTTGTCAGTATTTAAATAAACCAGAATTTTTACCTACCTTTTTTGGGGGGGAGGGGGACAGCACTGGGGTTTGAATTCAGGACCTCATACTTGCTAGGCAGGTACTCTTAGCACTTGAGCCATTCTACCAGCCCTTTTTTGTGATGGGTTTTTTTCAAGACAGGGTCTTGAGAACTATTTGCCCAGGCTGGCCTTAAACCGTGATCCTCCTGATCTCTGCCTCCTGAGTAGCTAGGATTACAGGCATGAGCCACCGGCACTTGGCTTGCCTTCTCTCAAAAAATGGGAAGATCAGGGATACTGCATGCCCACATTCAACCTGTAGGCTGGACAAGAGCTCTTTAGTTTGCCATAGTCCCTTCATGCCCTATTGTCTCTGACAAAGAGAAGGTGTGTCAATGCATTAACTTTCATACAGCTATTTTCCTTATACCTGGGTACACTGGTGCCCACAGTGAAGGCACAGGGTCTGTGCCTTCAGAATCAGCAGTCTTCAACAACAGAAAATACAGAGTGATTTCTCTCTTAAGAAAGTTTATTTAAGTGTCAAGGGACTGCAGGGTTTTCTTTCTTTTGGAGGGAGGGTCTGTCATTTCTTCTACAGGAAGAAAATAACTTTTCCCCCTTTTATTTCTTTTAAAGGAAAAAATTCAACTCTGAAAAAAAAAAACTCTAAAAAATCCTGTCACCTCACATTTTTAGAGGGATAATCTTCCTGTTTATTTGCATGAAAGTCAGGGACTTGAAACTAGAGGTTGGTAAAAACAAAACCAAAAACTCTTATAGCTATGAAGTAATAAGACTGAACTATGACAAACAAACATACATGAACTTATATACCAATAACCTACTGCACAGATTCCAATGGTGTCATTAAAAACAATTTTTTTAAATAAAACTTCTAACCTAGGACTGTCTCCAATTAACACCTACTTTTAACTTCATCTCCTAACTTTAGGGTTCAATCTCATTTTAGGCTCAAAAATACTGTATTACACCTGGCTGAATACCAGGGCTTGGACTGAAATGACTTCTGATTCTTCCTGGAGATCCATGTGTACCCATGCGGCTGGGCAGGGCCCACCAAGGTGGTCCCTGTTATTTGTAGCCAATTTTTCTGAGAGGAGCATCCTTGTGCCTGAGATTCTACCTCCCTGACCACTCTCCCAACAAAGCTAACTGCATCAGAGGCCAAATCCTTCCTGGGGGAACTGGTGATTTGAGGTGAACAACTAGCTCCCTACCTTCAATCTTCTCGGTTTCCTAGAGCCCTGCACTCACCTGTCTCTTTTCCTGGAATTATCCATGCAATTTTCACTCTCAGATCAAGGCCTGTCACTGAGATCGTCCCTATAATATAATTCTTGTTTCCCAGATTGGAAAACCTGTGACTTGGCAGAAAACTTTTCTGAATTCCTTCTTATCATTTCCACTGTCTGGAACAATTTGCGAGTCAAAATATGCAGCTCTGCTCAGAACAGATGTTTTGCCTTAATCTGCAAGACATCTATTCCCATTCCTAGTATGATGGGAAGGTTGGAAAACAAAGTGAAAGTAATGAAGCACAACTTCATTTTCAGCTTATCAGCTTATTCTGAGCCAAGCATAGTTTCATTATTTGGCAGGTTAAAATCTGAGTTTGTTGTCAGAAACATTAGTATTCCAAAATAAGTATCCAAACCTTACATCCAAACTAGAACACACCTGATTCTTGGACTAGCACATTCTTTTTCCCTTCCATTTATTAGCAAGTGAGTTTGTATAGTGAACTCTCTGCCCATATCTTGGGATCCAGTTAATGCTCCCCCCAAGTCAATTTCACACGCAAAGTTGTCCTATCCTAAAAGTGGCTCCTAGTGGTTCCTTTGGGGATAGGAAGAATCTCTTGGCCTCAGTTTTTAAAAATCCGTCAGGTAATGTCCCAAGCAACTTTTCGTTTTTTTAGCAATTTGGGCTCAACCAATCTCCTTCATATTAATAGTGGGGCAGTCTTATGTAGACAGGAGCTCTGTCCCTCTTCTGGATTCCACAGTGACAATATGGAACAACTCCCCTCTCTTGGGATGCCTGGTTTTATGGGGAGACAGTCTTGCAGCTAACTGTCTCTCCCTCAGAGCAGCTGCAGGAAACTCGATGCCAGAGAACAAGTGAGCACGTTCTCCCAAGAAGCTGCCAGCTGCCTTTACAGAGCAGGGAGGAAGACATTTGCATTCAAAATACACACAAACCTCTTCTTTGTAGCAGGAGTGCAAGCCTTCCTTCCCCCACCTGCCCGCCCAGCATGTGCTTGGAAGGGAAAGCCCTGTCTCATCCCACCTCCCCCACCCCAGCTTAGATCTTTCTTAGCATCCCCCTTCCCAGTTTGAATGTCAAAATCCAACAGCACCTATGAGAAAGGTGGGGAAAGATGCTTGGGCCCGGATGCTCCAGGGCATAGGGAGGGCAAGGGTTTCCATCCATGCTAATCAACACACACAAGTATTTTCCCTTTGGAAACAAATTCTGTAGAGAAACCGTTCATAAAAAAAAAATAGAACATATACTGTTGTGACAGTCCCCTCCTTTCTATTTTCTTTAAAAGAGGTTTGTCATCAGTCAAAACCAGTTCAACAAATTTACTGGCCACCCCTCCGCACACTGTTTTGTGTCAGTGAATTCGATCCCTAATGCCCAGGACACAGACTTAGACCAGAAGGCCAACCAAAGCATGAACTACAATTTCCAACAATACAGCCCAGCTGGGTGACAGTCGTGGTAGGCAGCTCACATATGATGACTACTCAGACCCTAGCTGAGGTTCTGGCATCTTCTGCAAGTTGGCCAACCCATTTCAGAGGAATGGTCAACACAGTCATCCTGTTCTGTGGTCCCCATCTTTACCAGCCATGTTACTCAGTAATGCACAGAGATCAGTTTTATAAAAAAATGACTAGATATTCAGTCACTTTCTTGACCTTTGACTCACAACTTATTTAACACTCATGGCATTGTAGGTCCCACATCAAAAACAGATGGGAAGATCATCTGCAATAGGGCATGGACTCCAGATAGAGTGGCACTTGATTTCTGGAGCTGTAATGACATTAAAAGTGCTTTTCCCACAAAGTATTTCAAATCGAAGTAGCCAAAAGTTAATAAGCAAACTGCAGAGTTCAATGAAGTCTGAATGATCAGTGCAGGTATCTCCCTGTTTCTCTTTAGCTGTTTCCTCCCTACCTCCCAGAACAGGCTCTGCTCCATAGATTGACCTAACATAGCAAGTTACTGTCAGACCTTATGGACATGCCTTTCAGAGCTCCATATGGTTTAGAAAACATGCTAAGACATTTGGCTAGAGGTTCTGGGACTGAGAGAAGGGAGCAAATACTGGCCAGAGTTTCACTCCAAATATCCTTGTATGAGCCCTCAGCTCCAAGCAGATAGAACACACAACCACAGAGATGAGCTGGGGAACCAGAGAGAGGCGGTAGCTAAAGTGGCAATGCTTAGACTCTTCCATTTCATTACAAAGAGGCAACCGTGTGGAGTTCATCAGTGTAGCTGCGGCAACCAAGTTCTGCTTTGCACACCCCAGAGGCAAAGAGCTTGGAAGGAAGGGTTGGAGGATCCTCCTCACCTAAGGAGAGAAGAGAGGACACAGCCACACAGTCATTGCATTTCACTGGTCTTAGCACTCATACCAGAACATTGCTGGATCTGCGACTGAGCTATAGGCTTTGTACCACTGAGAAAGGCATCCACACCAGCTCAAGATGTGGCACTTTCATTCTCTTAGCAGATTCTAGTTTCCTTAATTGAGGAAGGAAGACACCTTCCCTAAGGGTCCAGTGTCTGCATGTATAATTCAACTAGTTACAACCATGACATCCTGCTGGAGCTCCCTGGAGAAGTGGTCTTGGCCCTTGGACTTTGAGGCCTTGTATTGAGCTAGGATGGAGCGAATATTGCACCTATGAACCCCACGCTCAATATATGTGGTTTTAAAGGCAAGGGAGAGTGAAGGCAGTAAACACTACAGGTCCCAGCAAAGACAAAAGGTCCGCAGAACCTTAAGTAACGTTCTTGGAGCCCAAAGTGTTTTGGTGTTCTGGTGTTTGGGGGGTTCAGAGAAGCAATATAATGCAGCTAGTGAATGCTCCATAATATAACTGGGGAGGGGCTTTAGGCAGCTCTTCATAATTTAGGATCAGTATTTCTGCAGTTCAAACAAGTGAATATTCCCATTAGCTGAGATAAATCAAGACCATCAAAAGAGTTGTAGAAATAGGAGCAAAAGGAGCTTTGATAAGTCTTGATAAGCTGACTTATAGTCTTGACTTACCAAGACTATCAAAGGACACCGTACAACTTCCCATCAGGTTTCACTGCCCAAAAAGCAGGCGCTACAATTAGAACAACACTTTGACAGAGGACTTGAGAAGTGTGATCAAAGGCTGTGGCCTATGTCAGGAACTTGACCCAAGGGCACCTTACCCAGACCTGAGGAGGAGGACACACTCTCAGTCAGGGAAGATGTTTCTGTCTGGTCGGGGGAGAGTCCTTCCATGAAAGGCAGAGACAGCTCGGATGAGGGCACTGAAGAGTCGTAGATGCCCGAGTCTCGAGGCATGTCTGAAGAGCTGCCGACTTTAACCGCATGCAGCAGGGGCGGGAGGCAGGAGCTGCCATCATGGGCTGGCCGGGCCTCGGTGTCAGGCTCCAGGCCTGCATGCTGACTCTCCTGGAGTGGGTGCAAGTCTGCGGGTCCAGTGGCCCCAAGAGCAGCCGCCTCGGCCTTTGGGCAGAAGTCACTCTCTGACCCTGCTTTACAGATGACATCATTTAAAACCAAGCCTGAGTCAAACTTCTCCAGGACTGGCTCCTGGCAGCGCAGTGGGGGAGGATGGAAGGGTACAAACTGCTTCTCAAACCAGTCAGGCTCCTCGTCTATAAACTGGTGCATATTGCAGATGGCTACGTACAAGGAGCGGCCTGATTTGGTCCGAAAGTAGTTCCTTCTGCTGCCAGGTCCCAGATGTTGACCAGCCTCCTGGAGACTGTGGTTTCCGGAGTGCAGATGGGAGCAGAGCTGAGGGAGGTTGTCCATGAGTTTGTATTTGGTGCTCAGATCCAGGATGCAGGGGACGTCTCCCTCGCAGGAATAATCAAAGTAGACAGCAATGAACTTGCTGAGTGCCCCAGTTGAACTCTGCTTGGCCTGGCGGAGCTTTTCAGCAATGGCTGACACAGCCACCAGGAAGAGCTCCCCTTTACCAGAGCTTCTGCCACCTCCTTTGTGTTTATAGTTCTTCTTGTCCACAAAGTACTTCATGCCTTTGGAACACACCACAATGATGAACTGGGACTCGTGGATCTTCTGAATGACCCATTCTCTCTGCCCTTCTCTGCAGAGGCTAAAGTCTTCCCAAAGGTCCAGAGCCACCTGGAAAGAAGACAATGCAGTTCACTCCAACACCAGGAAGAAGAATGAAGGAATAAGATGGTGAATGTTAAGAGATGGCAGAGAGGCTCAAGTCATAAGAGTGCATGCCTAACAAGTGTGAGGCCCTAAGTTTAAACCCCAGTGCCGCAAAAAGAAAAGGAAAGAGAAAAAGATGTTAAATGTTAGAGAAGGGCCCATTATCTGCCATCTTAACTGTTATTAGCAGGGTTATGTGAAGGATCTGTGTTCCCAGTAAGGTATAGAACAGCTGAGGTTTGTGATAAGGGTCATACATGGGCCCCTCTGCTAGTACTTACTATCCTTCAACTCATTTTAGCATCATGTGGGGTCTATTACCACCTGCCCTAACCCTGAGGAGTCAGAATCACAGAACTTTTAGCAATTTGTCTAAGTCACTACAGAGGATGCCCTGAAGGAACTACAAGGTGGAGATCACAGAACAGGAAGGAACTGGGATTGGGGTATTAAGGCCACCAGATGCAAAAAGCAGATCCTGGAGTGAAGGCTGGTGGGCTCTGAGAGGAATATGTAGATGAGTAACCAAAAAGTGTGCTGGGAAATGCCAGAGTCACAACACACAATGCTAGTTGACTCATATCCAGAAGTGTTACTGATAGACGACCTTTGGCCCTTCTCAGAGACCCAGAGTCAGTCAGTTGGTCACTGATGGGGAGGAGGATGAACAGCTGTAACATGGGTGTTCTGGTTAACTCACTTTGGAATGACCAGTACCTTCCTCCATGGCTTCATACAGATCGGCAGTATCACATCTCTGCAAGGCTTGTGAGCAATAAGACCTTTTTTTTTTTTTTTAACTGAGCAGGGAGGGGGTGGTGGGGTAGTACTTCATAAAAGAAAGCTAGGCATGTGTGGCCCTTCAGAGGGTGTCATCACCATCTCAGGCCACTTTCATCTGATTCTACTGAAAATGCTTCTTGGCAGTTGTGTTGGTGGTGTTCCTTCTGTAGTTCAAAAACTAATTCCCAAGCTGGGAGTGTGAGCACCTGACTAGCAAGTTGAAGAACCTGAGTTCAACCCCCTAATACTGCCCCCCAAAATTAATTCTCAATGGCTATGGTCAAACATGGCAGACACTGAGTCTTATAGGGGAAGAACATTCTGAAACGATTTTGTTCTCCTCTTCTGCTCTCAGATGTTAACCAAGGGAAGAAAGTCATAGCATCTATCTACTTGTTGAAACTAATACTGAATCCTCTTATACTTTCCTTAATTCTTGTTAACTGGTAGTATATACCAAGTATGTACTACCTATCTTTGTCTCACTAATTCCAATTCTAGGCATTTCTCTTTGGGCAATAATCAGAAATAGGCCAATATTGGACTACTATTATATGCCAATATTATAGATTATGCAACTACTTAAAATTGTAGTTCACACAGAACTTGCTAATAGTATAGAAAATTATTAAGAGATAGAAAAAGATCAATTTGCCCAAACTACAAAAGTATACGTGTGAGTTCATTTGCAGAGAAAAAGAGTGGGAGGAAATACACCAAATATGTCTGTGGTGTCTGAAGACAGTGTATTAAGAGTTTGCAGTTTTCCAGAGGCTTGATCTGCCAAGTTCATAGCATGCACATGGGGAAACTGGGCCAAGTCTTTAAATACATTTTATTGACAGCAGAGGGCAGCCTCACCACGTGGAAAAAGTCGAGCAACAGGCCAATGGGGAGGTTACAAAGTACAAATCACTTCCAACTATACAATTATTGTACAGTTACTGCATTTGTAAGAAATGGGTACCCCAGTACTGCCAAAACAGAAAATAAGCATAGTACGCCTTCCATGCTAGCTTCAGACTTCAGATTTGTAGCTAGAAAAGCTACAAATTGGTAGTTAAGTCAAAAACAGCTAAGAAACCAGAGCAGATGTTCAAGCACGTGACATTTCCATTTTTTGGGGTCCTCCCCTTCTACCTCCTGGTTCTCATCAGCTACTGCCCTCTTCTACCTCACTACTTTCTTCTTTTCCATGACTTCATACCAGACAGTGGCCAAACTCACACAGCCCCTTGTTAAACATTTCTCCCTGGTCCCCAAGATCCCATCCAGTGGCAGTACCATTCTCTACTTCCCTTCTCAGCAAAATTTCCTCAAAGAATTATCTACACTCCCTCAAAGAATTGTCCTTACACTTGCCCTTCCCTCTTTGACTCTCCACTGAGGTTTCTGTCTGGCACATGCTCACCAGAATGTCAAGTGACTTGTCCCCATCGTAAGTACATGTTCCCATGGCAGTCACTGATTTTTAAATGTTTATGAAACTTCCTGCCAGGTGGGTGCCACTCCAGGCTTTTGAGCCAGGAGTGTGTCAAGATTAGAACCAAGTTTTATGAAACATTTAGTGCTAGTAATGGGTAGGACAGACTGAAAGAAGAGTACAAGACTATCCCCAATTGGGAAACTATGCACTAGTCAAAAGCAGGTGTTACAGAAGCAGCCCTGGAGGAGAGAAGGCAGCAAGGAAGGAGTATGGAGTATTTGTCCTGCCCAGGGTAAGAGAAAAAGATTAAATTCTGCACCTCACAGCCGCAGAAGTCCTGAAGAAAGTAGGCAAAACACTGGACGACGTTCATGTGATTCTGGCCATCTTTACTGGAGTAGCAGAGGAAGACCTTGGGGCGCGGCCACAGCCTCTCTCTGGGGAGTGCAGCAGTGTATGTGGAGGACTCAGAGCTCTCCTCATCTAAATGTGAATATATATTTTCTAAATTGGGAAAGAAGAGGGTTGATACCTATGAACAAAGCTTTGTCTGGTTTCATATGACTTGGAACTCAATGATATCTTCAAGAACAAACAGTTGACATATTCACCTAGAGAATTCTAGTCTCCAACACATCAGCCCCGAGTCACCACTGTGAATGGGACAGACAATCTCTGTAGTAGAGCATCCTTAGTCCTGTGCCAGTGGCTCATGCCTGTAATCCTAGCTACTCAGAAGGTGGAGATCAGGAGAATCATGCTTTGAGGCCAATCTAGGCAAAAAGTTCACGAGACCCCCATCTCAACCAATATCTGAATACAGAGGTGCACACCTGTCATCCCAGCTACTCTCACTTCCAGTTCAGCCCTGGCAAAAAAAAGACCTTATCTTAAAAAAAAAAAAAAAAAGAGAAAAAAGGGCTGGAAGCATGGCTCAAGTGGTAGAGCACCTGCCTAGTAAGCATGAAGCCCTGAGTTCAAACCCTGATACCACAAGAAAAAAAAAATTTTTTTTTTTTTTTTGAAAAAAAAATTCTTAACCTGAAATTGACCTTGGACAAGCCAACAAATGCTCCAGGGGCTATTCCAGTCAGTGAAGTGCCCACAACTTGCTCTTGCAACCAAGTGCACCTACTAGACAAATTAAGTTGGTAGAACTGCCCTTTAAAAAATAGAGAAAAGGTTGATTGAGGTATAATTTATAAAAGTAAATTATATAAATCCTTTTTTGGGGGACAATTGGGGTCTTGCTATATATCCCAGGATAGCCTCCAACTCCTGGGTTCAAGTGATCCTCCTGCCTCAGCCTCCCAAGTAGCTGGCAGTACTCCCAACAAAAAGTGTACAAACCTTACGTGTACACCTCTGTGGATTTTTATGTAAGTATATACCTGTGTAACCCCCACCCAGACCAAGATGTCAATCATTACCGGCTCCCCAGAAAGCGCTCATGTAACACACCTGACTTTCATAAATGATCAAATCTTTCCCTAGATCCTTATTCATACCATACACTTCCCTTCTGCCCTTGAATTTACTACCTTGAGTTTGAGAATTGAATCATACCTGTCCTTTCAGTGGCTCCAGGGATTGAAAGCCAAAAATTTTCATTCTGGGAACTACAGTAGGCAGGGAGCTGACTAGAAGATATGAGGCTTCCTAGATGCCTGCCTGGAGGAACCAGGTGTTTCCAGTCTGCTTTTCTGTTGCAGCCAACCTGGCCTGCTCTATACTTTCTTTTTTCTTTTTTTGGGGGGTAGGGTTGGGGGAGACATGGCACACAAAGAGATACCTTGTTGCTTCTTGCGGCACATCACAGTGAAGAGCGTTGCAAATGCTGATATGACAACCAGGGGCACAGTGATGGCCACAGCTCTGATGGGCCCGGCCCATGGGGAATGCACTGGGAATTTCAAAAGGAAGGCTTTTAAAGTTAAGCAGTGTTAACAGGTTCAAACAGAAATAACTTTTTTTTTCCTTGGTAAATGTAAGCCGTCTAACAGGTTCTAGGACTCCCACAACCACCTTTCTCTAGCTGGTGTGGTGATTATAAAAGGATTCAGTAGTTCCTCTTTAAAGAGTTACAGAAAATAATTCAGCAGTTCAGAGTCTGCTGGCACAGTAAATACCTTTGAGTGGGAATTTTGCCTAAGGAAACCTCTCCTCCCACTTTTCTTCCAAGGACAATTGCCTATTTATTTAGTCCCAGTGACAGACACCAGGCTGGCTTTGATCTTCCAGGCATCAACATGAAGGGAGAAGGAAACAGATTTGATGGAACATCATTTAAGAAGAGAGAAGAGCTGCATTGAGTTTTGTTTCTGTGAACCATGAGGTACCGAGTACAGAAGAGATCAGGTAACCCTGGGCTACGGTGGTCTAAAGCCAAATTTTAAACAAAACAACTCTTACCTGGCTTTAACGCATAATGCATCACTTTTCTTGTTGTGTTAGTGTCATCTACCAGCTGCAAAACAGAGGAAGCTGTATTATTGTTATTTTTTAAAGAGACAGCACCTCAACAAAGGGAAGGGGAAAAACTGGTGATTTCATTCATTTTTCCATCAGTGGGCAGTGGGGTGGGCTCAAAAGGGGAGGAAAGTGGCTGGAGGCTAAACCATTCACCAGGCTGAAGCGAGGCACCAAATCTGTTCAGGTTCATCTCCACTTTTATCAATTCAAAACGCTAACCTTAACCAGCAGCAGTGGCACATGCCTATAATCCCAGCACTCAGAGGGCTGAAGCATGTATCCACAGTTCAAGGCCAGCCTACGCTAAAGAGTTCTGGGTGAACCTGGGCTACAAGAAGAGACCCTGTATCAAAACAACAAAAAATTCTAACTGGGCTAGCCGAGTGGCTCAAGTGGTAGAGTGTCTGCTTAGTGAGTGGGAGGCCCTGAGTTCAAACCCCGGTAGCACCAAAAAAATAAAAAACTCTAACCTTCACCATGCTTCCTCTCCTGAATCAGAAGGCTGTTTATTCACTGAAGAATTCAGCTAGTGAGTCCCACATTCTCATAACTGTCAGCTCCACAGGAATCCTACAGCTGATGTTAGTGGGTCGCCCTGAGTGCTTTACGGTGTGTATGTCCCAAACCAGGGAATGCAAGAACTAGGTGTTTTTACCAAAATGTTAAAACATGCTGGGAGTCTCTCCATTGTGAGGCTACCGACAAATTGTTAATTTCTTTCTACTCTTTCTATAGTACCAATTTAATACTGGAAAAGTAATCTTAGAAAAGAAACATGTAGATGCTCTTTGAAGTGGTATCTCTAGAAAACAGCAAAAGAAACTTGGCAGATATAATGGGCCAAACTCATATTTTGCTGAAACAAAATATGTTTTCTTTTTGATGGTGCTGTGGATCAAACCAGAGCCTTGTGCATACTAGGCAAGTGATCAACCACTGAACTACATCCCAACCCTTGGTTTTTTGAAACAGGGTCATGCTCTAGAGATCAGGCTGACCCTGAACTCATTATGTAGCTCAGGCTGGCTTTGAACTTGTGATCCTCCTACCTCTGCCTATTGAGTGCTGGGATTATAGGCATGAGCCATCATGATCAGCCTAAAACAAAACTTTTTTTAAAGATAAAAATTTGAAAATATGTCTTTGTAATATGAAGTAATGCTATACAGAAATTTTAAATGATTGTTATGTGGACTATATGGGTACATAAAAATATTTATTTGAGCTATTTAATGAAAATATCAAACATCAATTATGTATAAACTTTATTTATTTATTTTTTTTTGGTGGTACTGAGGTTTTGAACTCAGGGCCTCATGCTTATTAGGCAAGTGCTCTACCACTTGAGCCAAGCCACCAGCACTTTTTTGCTTTTAGCTATTTTTCAGAGAGGGTGACATGGTTTTCACCCAGGCTGACCTCAGACCACAGTCCTCTTCCCTATGCTTCCTGTGTAGCTGGGATTACAGCTTCTTCTTTGAGACAATGTCTCGGTAACATGTCTCGGTAACTTTTTTGCCCAAGCTGGCCTCAAAGTACAATCCTCCTATCTCCATCTCCCAAGTAGCTGGGATTGTAGGCATACACCACCACTCCCAGCTCATGCATAAACTTTTTAAAAAGCCTAACAACTATGCTGAAACATAATAACACACATCTTCAATGCTTGAAATGTTAGTGTTCTAAAGAATCAGAGGTCTACGTGAACTGCGTTGTATAGAATTAATAATAGGGCTTTCTACAGTTGTACATACCTCAATTATATAATCCCCTGGAGAAATGTTTTGGAGAAGACAGCTCATTGTCTCTGTATTTTGCTCCTGCAAAGAAGCAAACAACACTTCAAAAACTCACCTCATGCATAAAGGTCATCAAGGCCTCTCTCTTCCCCTACCAGTTTTCATCACTTTTTTAGAAGATGTGACTAGGCTGGAAAGCAGTTGTGTTTACCTGCTACATATTATCTGACTTCACCTTGATAACGTTCATATTCTGTGCTTAGTTGGTGGTGCTTTTAGCTGTGATTTTCACTGGACAATAAAGAGCCTAGTTAGAATACCTACTTTGCTTAGTAAACAAGTGGGGAAAGATATTACCAGTCTGTATTTGTAGTATTTTATTTGCCATAATTGTAACTTGAGTAGAAGGTCAAAGAATTTCAGTGATGCAGATGAGAGCCAGCAGGAGAGCAAACTCAACAGTCACGAGAGCATGTTAGGATAGGAAGGGGCTGAGTTTTGCCACACCACCAAGAATATCTCTTGGTGCTTGTAGGGGCCATTTGGCAGTCCTATAAACATCCACCAAACACTTCCTACTCCTCTGATCATGCTCAGTTTAAGATCTTGGTTACTGAGTTTCTAATTAACCTTGGCCTGTGGTAAAATCAATGGCCACTAAATTGCTAGTGGTTTGGCTAAGTGGTTTTTCCACTTACTAGCTGTATGACCTTTAGCAGGTCAGGTGATCTCGATGAGCCTCAGGTTCTCCACTTGTAAGGGGTAGGGAGGTGACAGTGTGACAGCAGTCTCTGTTTCATGGAACGGTCAGGGTTCAAGGAATAGAAAGCATAGTATCTGCTATATAGTGAGCACCTAGTAAATACTTAAGATACACAACAGCCAGGTGTGGCAATTCATGCCTGTAATCCCAGCACTTGGGAGGCAAAGGCAGGAAGATCACAAGTTCCAAGCCAACCTGACCTACAAAGCAAGACCCTGTCTCAAGACAAAACAACAACAAAAAGTAGGGCTGGAGGTGTGGCTCAAGTTGTAGGAAAGCGTGAGGCACATAAGTTCAAACTCCAGTACTGCCAAATAAATAAATAGAAGAACAAACTAGAAATACTAATTCTTTTGATTCATTGGCAGTATTTTTTCCAGGTTATGTCATCACAAGAACAGCCAAGACAGAGATAACCAGGGAGAGAGAGACAGCAGCAAGACACCCTGAGACACTCGCAGTGAAAAACATCCTGGAAGATCTACTGACCACTGACAGCCAACAAAGCCTAAGGCTCACACTGCACCAAGCAAGTTCCAGGGGCCCAGGAGGAGTGACTTTGAAACACTCACCTGCTTACAAGTCTTTCGCTTGAAGGGTCCTTCATGCTTGAGCTTGTAATGCAGATAGAAGAAACGGAAGCCAAAGTTGTATGGTGCATGTTCGAAGGCCACCTGCATGTCCGAACCATGCTGGGTGATGTTCAGGTTCCGAGGTTTCCAGACTGGGAGGAGGAAGGGCCAGAGTGAGCATCCCCAACACCATTACAGAAGTAACACACTGAGCCTGACAGATAAGAACAGCTGTACTTACAGGGTTTACAGGCCAGGTTGTCAGGTTGTAACAATAGGTCACAGGCTATTAAGAGAGAACATATTTTTCTTTTAAGGACAATTTTACATTTTTCTTATGCAACAGTTAAAAAAATACAACAATACTGTGCCTAGTGCTGCTGGAAAGGTTATAAAATACATCAATTCCACAATGATTTTCACTACAGAGCAGTTGTATCTTACGAAAATTTAAAGGGTATAGTATAGAAATATTAAAGCGGTGCATTTTATGCCACATAAATGGAAACAGTGTAAAGTCATGGAGATTTTAAAAGTTTGTCAGATATTACATACTTTCAAGACTGGTGGCCAAGGGCAGTAGAACTGTCATGGAGGCTGTTACAACTGTAAACAGAAATAATGCCAGCCCCTGCCCCACTGTGGAGGTTTCATGTAGGAGAGAACTTTGGAGTGGTTCTGGTACCTGCTGAGGGGTTATTTTAACCTCACCAGCATTCTAATTTAAAATCTTTTTGATGGGCTTTCAAAATGACAGGCTGGCATCTGCTACACAGTAGCATCAGCACTGAGAACCAGGCACCCCAAGTCAGCACCTTTGAAACAGGATTCAAACACTGTCACACACACTGACAGAGGCCAAACGACTAGTCCAACATGCCTGCTGCTAACCCAGGGAGGATCTTCTGGAAATACCCATAATTGTTGTCACAGAGCTAAACTGAATTAATATTCACAAAGCATCTAGGAAAGGGCCTGGTACCTTGGCGTTATACAATGTCAAGAAAGTAGAAGGTAACATGAAAGAAAGCCATGATGCACTGAAATGGTAACAAACACCTGCATTCCAGGAACGCATATCCTGCTCCCTCCTCACACCATACACAAATTACTTCACTGGGGAAAAATTTGAAATTGTGCTAGTTTTTATTTAGGAAAGGTTTTTATAAACACATCTTTGAATCCTCTATCTGGTTATTATGCATGGGAGATGTTTTGACATATGCATGGTTTCTGCCCTATGGAATCTCATTTAAATTAAGAAAAGAAGACCAATTGTTATAAAATAACTTTTCAACATAGAGAACAACCACATTAAGAATTCACCAAAGGGAAACATGGTGCAGGCTAGAGCTGAGACCAAAATCTCAAAGAGGATGAAGACTGTGACCAGACCACAGGGAGGGGATGTCAGATTCAGCGGGCAGCTGGCCATCCAAGACCTGGAATGCCAGATGGAAGACTCATCTGGAGGCAGGAAGGAGCCACTGCAGGTGCCAGGGTGACTGGCAACCAAATTTGAAAGCAATGAGTCAGGAAGATTAAAGAGACACCAAAACAGAACAGATGGGAAAACTGAGCATCTAGAATCCAGCATGGCTATGGTTGAGGGTGTAGATGCCACAGCTGGACTTCTGAGGTTCAAACCCCACCTTCAGGCTTTTATTCTCTCTGTGTATGATTTATTATAGAGATAAACTGTATTAATATTTGGAGAACATTTACAACAAGGCCTGGCACTTTCATGTTAACTAGGCCTTTTTAGAAAGAAGTAGTCTCAGGAATACTACTTAAATTTCTGTATCTACTCCTTACTTCCCTCCTGATAACAGATATAAGATAGGACCATATCATGTTCCTATCCTTTACCCCAAAAATCAATTTATACTTTTTATTCCTGGGTTTTAAAAATCACATTTTGATTTTGGTGTTGGAGATCAAACCCAGGGCTTCGTACATACTAGGCAAGTAATCTGTCATTGAGCTATACCCCCAGCCCACAAAAATCACACTATTCTGATATATGGCTGCCTTAATGGTAGTCACAGTGTCCTTTTAAAATAAATAAATAAATAAATAAATAAACAAACAAACAAACTGTCGGGGTTGTTCTAGAACAAACCAGGAGCAGGTGTCTCCAGTTAGGTTAACAGTGCCTGGCCTAAGCTTAGTTTTAAAAGTGCATTTCTGGGACTGGAGGAGTGGCTCAAGTGGTAGAGTGCCTACTTAGCAAGCATGAAGCCTTGAGTTCAAACCCCAGACGAAGAAAAAAAAAAAAGTACATTACTGGATGCTTTTCTTCTCACCCTGCTCATTTTATACCAGTATCTAGTGTGCTCTTGAACTCATCTCTGTAGAGAAATCATTGAAAGCAAGAAAACCAGACCCACAAAAAAAAAGAAAAAGAAACATCTCCTCACTGGAACCAGGTAGGAAAGACCATACTCACCCCGTGTTCTGAAGAAGAAAGGGTGGTAATTACTTTCATTTTTAATGGAAGGGAAAGGGACAATCTTTACAAAGTAATCCGTTTCAAATTTCATATTCAGAAAAGGTTGAGATTCCATTCCCTAAAAGGGAACAAGAACACATGTGGCGTCATGGAGAAAATACCCACCCCTCCACCTACATAGGAGAACTTCTCTCCTACGCAGACTGTCGCTCATACACAGTTCCAGAGTTGGGGCCATGCCCCAGGGAAGCAGTCAAGTCTATTTTCTAAACCAGGGTTGGGTTTTGGATCCCTAACTCAGAAGATGAACAGTGCTGCCTGTTCTTTGACAGGCTTGTTAGGGCTGAACCTGAGAGTTGTGGAGAGAGAAGGGTAAGTCCACACAGCCCTCTTTCCGGGATGGCTGCTCCTGTAACCGGAGAGGTGTGTTTACCACAGAGAGGTGCTGAAGAGTTTCCCTGTGAGTGTGGAGTCCACTCTGGCATTGCTTCCCCAATCTTGCCCACCTTGGGTGAGACCCCACAGCCCCTCCTTCTCCAATTTCAGACTTTCAATAGACCATTCAGACCCCAGGAACAATGGTGTGTCTTCAGGAGCACATTCCCCAAGTGTGACTTACAGTTCTTTTGAAGCTACTGTTGAGCTGCTTCGGGTCTTTCAGAATCAGTTGTTGGCACTGTCTTCCCTCCGATTTCAGCTCCTCCAGTATTACTCGAAATCCTTTTAGGAATTCGATGCCTAAGCAAAGCAGAATGCTTTTATGAAAAGCAGACCTAATTACTTCTCAACACACTCTCTTTCCTCCGAGGTTGCAGTCCTCTCCACTTGCACACCATAGCTAAAAGACTTCATTCCTTGCCCAGGATATGTAAGTCCATACAAAGGCCAAGTGCATACCCTTCATTCCTCTGGGACAGGCCAGGTAATTTTCTTTGTCTTATCCTTGCTGATATAATTAATCTCTAATCTACCCAGCCATTTTACAAATACCCATCGCCTCTGTGACATTAAAGTTCAAATATTTCAGTTCAAGTCACAACTAACCATAAAAGTGGAAGGTGTCATTTCTAGGTCACTCAACAAAGTACACTCATCTGATGATAATTCCCAATGTTGACTGGGGAATGCCCCTAAGCCACATTTCAACTTGAAGTTTTAGTCCTCTATTTTTTGGCATTTTTCAATGAGCAAAGTACAAAATTCCCAACAAAGTATGTGTCTGCACCTAAGAGGCTCCCAGGCTTAAGATTAAATACTTCAGGGGAATGGCAATGTGACTTACAAAGCAGTTCTTACTCTAATCATGCCTGAAAGGCAGACATCCAAGGGCTGCTCTTCATACAGCCCTAAGAGGCCCGGAGACACCCACAGCGCTGCTGAAAGGCACAGGCACCGGCCCAACCTCCAGCCACCTGAGCTCCCCCGACTCCACATCCAACTACATGCTTTCAAAAGGATTAAGCTCTGATGGCCACAAGAGCCAGCACTGGGGCTTCGTATCCCATGGAGACTGGAGTGGCCCAACTGCAGCTGGAGATCCCCAAAGCCAGCCTCAATTGGCAAGATATCGATTTCACATTCTTTCTGAACACTAGACAAGGAGACATTTGCAACCCTTCCCCTCCCAGGGCAAAAGTAATTACACAGGAGGCAATTAACCAGGTGGGAAAATTATTGATGGCAAAGGCCAGGGAAATCTTTTTCTCTTTCTAATAGGTTCTCCAATCCTATAATTACGCAATGAAGAGTACAGATTTCATGGTAGGTAGGGCAAAGGAGTCACTATTAAAGCCTTATATTTTAGGGTTCAGAGTTCTATATAGTGCACAGGAACTAACTCTGCCATGTTGTTTTCCAATCACCAAACTTTCAGTAGGTGACAGTCAGCAGACCCACAGTCTGTGGTGACAAGATGTGATGACAAGATACAAGGTCTCTGAACCAACTATTTAAAAGGGGGGTAAAAAGATTTTTGAACAAATGCTTATTATTTATACTAAGTTAATTTACGCAGTGATCCCAGAACTATTGCTTAACAAAAGTCAGGTGACTGATAGGATTAATGGCATGCATTTCACAATTACTTAAAAACTAATCAGCTGGGGTGAGTATGGGTGGAACTAGTCCTTATTTTTCAAAGGCTAGCTTGAAAAATCATTATGTCAAATCTGGGGCTGGAGGCAGAGGCAGCAAGTGTAACTTGCAGAGATGTGTTTGTCTCTGCAACCTCTGAACCACCAACACCTCTTAAAGTTACAGAATGAACAGCAGTCTTACAGAGAAGCTTCCCCTGAAGGAACATGCTTGCTCTCTCTCAGATCATCTGAAACTCATTAACTAGCAACCACAGGAGGAAGACACTGTCATTCCCATGTACAGATGAGGAAACTAACAACAACTAACTGACTTGCCCAGGGTCACAGAGGAATGAAATGGTACAGGTGGGATTCAAACCTTGGAACCCACATGCTTTCCTGCTTCCAGAGTTTCCTTGATAAAACCTAATAGAAGCTGATGGAACCTGTCCATTCATCCCACCCATAAGTCACCGTCCAGGAAAATATGGCCTTCTGCTCTCATTGTCCAGTTCAGTAGTCTTCCCACCCCCAGCTCACACTTCTTACTCTCTTTCTAACTAGGTGCCTCCAGTGCCTCAGACCAAGCCTTGGTCATTTAAGCCTTACATGGAATAACCACTTCCCTTTTAACTACATAGAATGTTTTTATCTTTAAATGTTAAGGCAATATTATTTTTGAGAAACCCAGAGAGTTCAGATCTAGAAGTATGTATGTGCACAGGTAGGTCAGGCCCATGGCCTACTCCAACCGCCCTCACCCTGCACTCAACTCCTCCCTGCAATCTGGTTCTTCTGAGTTTTATACTGTCAGATTAAGATATCCAAACTTAGCCAGGTTTTGGAAAATACCTAAGATCAGTGGCAACATCAGTGGGGCAGGGCTGAAACCCACATTCAAGTAATAATCAGCTAATCTTCTCTGACTGTACTCTCTGGGCACTTACTGTGTATGCCTAAAACCCTGAGGCACTTCTAATGAGAAGTGCCACTTGGCAAATGGGGAAGCTAGGGATCCATAAGGCTTAAGTGCCTTGTGTGAAAGGTCACTTCCAGCCAGGCATGGTGATACACACCTGTAATCCCAGCACTCATGAGGCTCAGGCCAGAGGATCTTGAGTTCAAAGCCAGCGTGGGCTACATAGTGAAACTCTGTCTCCAACAAATAACAAACAACAACCAAATACACATATACATGCAAAAAAGAAAGAAGAAAGAGGGATGGAGGGAGGGAGAGGAAGGAAGGAAGGAAGGAAGGAAAGAAATAAGGGCCAATTCTGGATTCAAACCTAACCTGAATCTGGCTGGATAAGGTGTGTTTATTTCTGTTTCTTTGTTTCAGTTTGTGTTTTGTGGGAGCCACACAGTGTAAATAAAATTTCAATTGGTTGCCAATTTTAAAAATTCATTCATTTCATGGTTTGTCATGAAAACCAGGATTTTCCTTAAAAGTCACAAAATGTGCCAATGCTGAGCCCACATGTCCTTGTGGCCACAGAGACCACTAATGCTGGAGGTCAAAGCATTTATCCCTTGGAGAGTCCACAAGCTCTCCTGATACTGTCGCCCAACTCCCTTTGATTATTGCTGAGACACAGAGAGGCCAAGGCCTTGGTGCCTTATTAACCGCACACTGTTATTTTTCAGACCCACAACTCTCTCAACAATAATCAAGGAAACAAAAGAAGAGCCACAGGGCCCAGCCTCAAGCTTTGTGTATGACCAGCAAGCAGACACAACAAAGCACAAACTGCCAGTGCCCAACGTGACTTTGGTGTCACTCTCATTCAGACCTGCCTGCAGGGAGATCATCACGTGTGGGACTTGCACACTGGGCACCATCCACCCAGCCCATCACAGTGGACCTGATGATTTACCACTTACCGAGGGCCCCTGGGGACCAAAGAATGGTGACTGCCACTTGGTCATGACAAGCGTACTGGCTGATCGTGATGTTCTGGGCATCAGCTATCACGTGCTTTGCCACTGGATTCAAGTAGGTGGTACAGTCTGGAAGGTTGGGAAAGTAAGAATGGTTACTTCTAAATTTTTACTTTTCGATTTCATCTTACCAAACTATACAGAACATGTCTGGAAGTAGCCAAATCCATGCTATTTAAAGACATGTGCCTCAAAAGCCCAAATATGAAATGAAAGGTTGCCTATGGTTTGTTACACTGTAAGATGCTGCAGAGGGGTTTATTTATAGCACCCCTACTGCCACCCGCCCTCCCCCAGTTAAATTCCAGGACAGTACTTGAGGGTCATTCACAATGTGGAGTTTGTGTATCTGGCATTAACTTTTCTTTTATGATTTTACCTAAATCAATCAGTATTTATATCATTTCAACCAATTTCTCGCATTAGAGTGATTTTAAAGAAAAAAAAATGCTAAATAATTTGGGGTTTGTGGGCTGACAGAGTGGCTCAGGTGGTAGAGTGCCTGCCTAGCAAGCGTGAGGCCCTGAGTTCGGACCCCAGTGCCACAATAGTAATAATTTGGGATTTGTTTTTAGAGGAAACCTGGAGGTCAAGTGGGAGTGGGGAGGAACTGGTGTACAGATGTGACTCCAAGGGGACTGGGTCATAGCCAGGTGATTATGGAAGTCAGTGTTTACACAAGTACTAACTGAGTGACTGAGCGACAGGGTACCAACTAGCATCCTCAAATATCCTCTGAGAAGCTAAATGTCATCAAAGATGCCCACAATCCTCACTAAACCCCCAAAATCGCCTCCTTTGATTCTGTCTGAGGACATTACTCACTGCCACCTCCTGTCAATGTAGCGACAACCACATAAGCAGCTGTATTGCTAAGTACACCTTCAAAAATCTGTAAGGTCCCTAAAAACTTGCCAGAATCAGATTGGGACTTGAGATAACCATTGGCCAGTCCCAGCAGACAGCAACCCAGAATCCTCATGCTACTCCATCTCCATCTCTTTCTCAACAATTCAATTCAAATAGCCTCTTCAGCATCTACTGCACAAGGTCTTCCCATCATCAACGGTCCAAACCTGCCTGGCATCCCACTGAAGCAAGGGGGACTTCTTTGGATTGAAGTATTCCAGGGCATTTCTCAGATACTCGGTGAATCTGCTGCATTTTTCCCCTGTAAGTTGTACAGTGCATTCCCCATTGTTATATCTAAAAATATTCAGTCATTTGAAAACCACAAAGGAATACAAGAACAAAACAATGTGAAAGTCATTCATACTCAATCACCACACACAGGTAACTGTTATTAACATTCTCAGAGCTAGCCTCTCAAGCCTTGTAATATGCACATAATATTCCTTTTTTATTTCTTAATGAAATACAGCATTCATACACTAAACCGCACCCTCTACTTGTAAAACTCCATTCTCCATGATGCCTTGTGTCCTGTTTTCCTGCCTAAGCACATTAGGCACACTCTCTTCCCTAAACTCCAACCACCTCAAAAGCTGTCACATTTGTATGTCAATATTACTGCAATTGAAAAGATAGTCATAACAAAACCATACTCTACTTCTTTTTTTTTTTTTTTTTTTGTGGTACTGGGGCTTGAACTCAGGGCCTTCACCTTGAGCCACTCCACCAGCCCTATTTTTATGAAGAATTTTTCGAGATAGGGTCTCATCGAACTATTCCCTGGGCTGGCTTCAAACCACAATCCTCCTGATCTCTGCCTCCTGAGTAGTTAGGATTACAGGTGTGAACCACTGGCACCTGGCCACACTCTACTTCTGATGAAAATTTTATTCTCAAAGCAATCTACGTGTGTTTTCTGGTATAGAAGAGAAATTTAGAATAGGAAAAAAAAATGTTAACATCTAACACCCACATGGTACAAATGAGGAAACTGTGACCATGAGGGATAAGCCAGGGGGCCCAGGGGCAGGACGAGGAAAAGCAGCCAACCAGGGCCCCGTGTTCTGGCCTCAGTACCTAGCATGTTACTTCTAGCAGAAGCACTGAACCAGAGTGTCCAGTCTGCAAAAACGCTCACTGAGACCAGCTTCCCAATAAAGACTAAGAGTCTTTCAGACTTGTAAGGTTCCAGTATTTTCATTTGTTGAGGTCTATAATGTAAGGGAAACTTTTGACTTAGCTCTGAAAAGATGTACAAACAAGAGCAAATCATTGGGGATTTTATCTTTGTTCCTTCCTAATGCCAAAATTAATACTCTTTGAGTTTCTGCAAATACAATTATGCAAACAGAAAGTCTAAGAATTAAGAAAATGTAGTGTAGTCTACTTAGGCATACCCCCTTCAAAAGCCTAAAGAAGAAATGTGGAACGCAGGGTCATAGGAGGCAAGGAGACTTGAGAAATTGTTATGACTTAATGGAAAGACATTTTCTTTCTTCATAACATTTAATGACAAAGGAATAGAAAGCTGGCAAGGTGATTCATGCCTATAATCCCAGCACTCGGTAGGACGAAGGCAGAAGGATAGTAAGTTTGAGGCCAGCACTGGCTATATAGAGAGTTCAAGGCTAGCCTGGGCTACATAACAAGACTCTCCAAAAAAAAAAAAAAAAAAAAGAAAGATTTATATAGTTTAGTAATTTTGGTGAAAACTTTATTATAATTGGTTCTTAGCTATTTCAAACAGAACTAGTCCAGTCAACTGAGCAACAGCAAGAACTTCATTGTAGAAGACAGAGATATATTTTTCAACGAAAAACACTGAATAAGTTTTTATACAGCCTGCATCCAATTATTAGCAAGTTTACAGTTTTGGATTCTGGTTTCAAAAAACTTTATATACAAATGACATTTTGCCAAAATGCAACTGAGCCTCAAACATCCCAGGAGTCAATGCAAGCTGTGAATTAAATTTTAATTAAATGCTGCAGAATTAAGAAAAAAGTAATAACAAAGACAAAAGCGTAGGCACATGGGCCAAAAATTTAGTATAGTGAAGAGAACAATAAGATGCTTTTAACTCTTACAGGTATAGATCCTTTTTCACCACGCCATATTAAATTAAAGAGGCAAATGCTTGTTTTCAGCTGACCGGAAAATTTTGAACTCTTGAATGTAATACAAGACCTGCCAGGACCAAGAGCGTATATTAGAAATTAACTTTCTGAACTCAAAGAAAGACCCTTACACATGTCTTTACTTAGCTGCATCAAGTATCATGGACTTGCAAATCTTTCATTACCATCACAGCATTTACTCAGAGCACGCACACACCACTAACATGAAATGCTTGAGTGTCCTGTGTAAGTCCCCATTGGTTAAATTAAGATTCCCATGCCAGCAACGATGATGTTAATTTGACATACATATTTGTATCTCATCCACGACCTCAAGAACTCTGCCTTAGCACTGATTATCCTAGAGGCCTCCGTGTGACCTAATCCCAGGAACCATTAACCTTCTCCAAGAGCTGAATCAGATGTCAGGAGTCACCAACTATGAGTCATTTTTATATGACTTACGGCTCATAAGGCTAAAAATACTCCAGGTCTATACAACTACCGTCTTGGGAATGAAAGCAGCTGCCTAGAGAAGATCCCATATGCTTAATCAGACAGCATCCTTAGAAAACAAGTCAGCCAGACTTTTTAAAAAGTCAAACTTTGCTAAGACACAGTGCAAAAAAACTTGCTTGTACTAAACCCCAGTTAGAATGACTTCTAATATTAACAGATAGCACTTACTGAGCGTCCACTGAAGGCCAGCTACCAACTTTAAACAGGTATAAGCAGTGCCTCATTTAAGCCTCAAAATGATGCTAGGAGAAAGAAACTAATCTTTTTTTATATATGAGCAAACTGAAGCATGGAGAAACCAAGACACCTGCCGTGGCTCGTACAAATAGATGGGAAACTGAAAGTTGGTACCAAGGCCTAAGTTAGAGGTGGCCAACTGGAGATACCTGGGCCAACGTGGGACCCGGATTCAGTTGCCTCACTCTGAGTTTATGAAAAAACTTAAATAAATGCCAATACTTTAAAATGTTCACCAAAAAGGCAAATTTCTGGCTATTCTTGAAAACTCCATCCTAGCTACACTCTGTGGGAATTCCTCACACAAAGAAGTCAATGCCTACTTTGAACCAGACATAGGCTACCCAGATTGCTACAGTCCCTACCTTTCCCTAGCATCCTGCTTGGGCAGCTTTGCTCCTTTGTCCCCTGCTGGGCTCTAATGACCTCTTTGTTTGTTCTTCAGGTATGTCCTAAGGAGCTCAGGGAAGGCCTTTATTATATAACTTTTCTAAACACTATGTAAGACACTTGACATGTTCAAGCTCCCAAATACTTTAGTGGTTTAATCGAGACTACGGTGCTCTAGCTGTTGACAAAAAGGTTTAGAAAAGTCCTCAGCCTTGGGATCTGCAGTGTCATTGATGAAGTACAAGCATGTAAGCTTTAGATTACTGAAAGAGCTCCATTCTTCGCGGTCAAGTATTACTTACTGTCGTATCTGAAGGTGATGTTGTGCAGTCCGCTGTTTCTGCTGGTGGGCCCCACACCCTGTGGGAAAACAAGAGACATGAGGCCAAGTGAAGCCAATGTATTTTTGCAGCACAGATCCCCATGGAGTCTAAATGCTCAGAGCAGGGCAGAGACCTGGGGGGGGGGGGTCTCCACCTATCAGCCACCACTCCTCACACCCATTCCATGACCCCCTCCCCTCAAATGCCAAACATCCAAGAGCTTTCAAACTGCCAGGCTACCAGGATCATGGGTACTAACTTCCCCTAAGACAACAGGAGAAGGCTGTTCTATGTTTCGGGGTTAAATAATTCATTAGCAGTAAAATTGGGAGAGAGACCAGGGCTCTTCCAGTTGGATCCACTTTGAGCACTGACTGGTTATAAAATTTGCCTACCAGACACCCTCATCCGAAAGCTCTATTAAGCCAGGACAGATAGGCAATTCCTCAAGTCTAAGGAAACCAGTTTCTCATTCCAAGACTGGGAATGAGTGTGGGAATAAGCCGTTACTTTTAATGAGAAAATTCTTCACTGCTTCCATACCTATGCTTGGAATACACAGGGTGGGTCATAAAATAAAAAGTAAAAAGACCTTAAAAGGTCTAACTCCTAACTCTTGGTGATGTGGCCATTAGCCATCTGCACTCTTAATAGCAGCACTAACAACTTTGCCAGACTTCCCACTTTAATTACAGCAGCCACAGAGGGAGCCTCGAATCCTCCTGCTGATCCTGCCTTTCCCTAACCCACAGTTTATCCATCATGGGAAAGAGCAGCTCCAGATCTACAGACCCAAATTAAACTGTTTCTCTAATAATCTGCAAATGGGCCATTCAGTACTAATTGCAAAAATCTCTAAACTATGTTAATTCTGAAACGCTAAATGATGGGAAAATATTCTAACCACACAGCTAACATTTCCACTTAACAAGGAGGATGTTGGGAGAAACCATATGCTGGCAGCCTGGTATTTAATGGGCAATTGTTACTGAGACATGATGTGGAGAACACTGCTGATGGGGCCCAGGGTTCCAGGCCACAACCCCATCACATCCATATGCTGCAGGCATGTTCACGCTGCTTATCCTGAAGCCAGGCACGCCCACTGAAACCATATCCCTGAGCTCAGATATAAGTGGGCCTTGGGAAAGCACAGCTGCACAGAAGCACACACACACACACACACACACACACACACACACACTCCACTCCACTCCAAGGCAGGCAGTAACACAAAACCTAAATCAGTGGGTACTAACTTCCCCTAAGACAATAGGAGAAGTGCCCCAGCAATCCCTGATCTGCTGCTGGGGCTCCCCTTCTGTCTGATTTCACCTTCCTTCTCTAGCTTCCTCCTCCTACCTTCTCTTCCCCACATATAAAAGACTCCAGAACTCTTCAACCCCTCACCTGAATTGAAACTCTGGAAAGTACTATTACCTTATTAGAATCCTAAGAGTATCCATGACTCCTTAGGCACAAGGTCACACAGCACAACAAGAGGCTGCCCCACCGCCAAATGGCAGAGATGTGAAAAACAAACAGGAAAGAGACAATCCAAGACCCACAACACACAACCCCTCTGGGAACACCCAAGAGCAAAGCTTGAGACCCCCAAACCATAACCTCTCCTCCCTTACAAAGCCCCAGGACATGAACCCACTCAGTTTCCATGGTGAGCCAAACATCATACCAGGTGTGGTAGTAAACACAACAGCCACGCCCCTGCCTCCTAAAAGGATGTGGCGCTCACCCTTTCAGGGAAGAGTAACGGGGATACAGACAAATCTCAAAACACATGGCCCTCCAAGATCTCCAGTTGAGATGGCAAACAAGGTGTAAATGGCTAGCTGAAAGAGCCAGCCACGGAGGAGCACACGAGATACACAAAATGCTACAAGGCAGCACCTGAATAAGGCCCAGTGAAAGAGAAGGATGGGGGTGACAGAAGCTTTAGAGGGAACAGGAAGGTGATTGGGCTAGAATGGAGAGGAAAACAGCAGCATCACTAGAGAGAAACAAAAGTATAATTTACAGGCCGTGGCCAGTACTTCAGCACTTTCATCCTCCAGGAAAAACTATTCTCTGCTCCACTGGTCAGATTCTCCTCAACTATCTTGATTTTTTTTTTTTTTTTGAAGAATGTATACAGCTTTTCTCTGAGAGAGAGTTGAGGAGGACCATGAAGCCATGTGGAAGAGGCACTCTTCTAAAACGGTTTCAAGGCACATAGGGACGCTAGTGACCAATCACTTTACTTGTGGGATTTGGTCAGCTTTTCCTTTGTTCCTTTTTCCACTTTATTTCTATTGCATCATGGGGTTTTGTTTGTTTTGTTTTGTTCTGTTTTTTTGTTTCTTTTGGCAGGGGGTTTGAACTTAGGACTTCTAAGCAGGTGTTCTACTGTGTCATGCCCTCAGGCCTGCAGCATTTTTAACACACATTTGTCAGTCACTTGAAATGGTTAATGCACTGTGGAAAGGAGTCCAAGACAGTGAGTTGTGCTGTATCATGCATGCAAGAACCTAAATCCCTCCACATAAAATCTGTGATATATGGGGAGCTGTTCAGAGAGGGCCCAGTGAGCTGGCCTCAAGGATGGTGAGGCTTGCATGTGGCATCTGGTCACTGCCCATTGAGCATTCCAGCCTGTCCTGAGCCCCACAGGCCTAAGCATTCAGGTATGAACCAGACCCAGGTTCTGACCTCTGGGGCCTTTGGCCATCAAGGTAAGCTCCAACCATGCACATCTAGCCTCATTCCCCTGCCCTGACTCACTGCCCTACTACACCACTCCTGATGTGGCTCCCACCTGCCTGCCTTCCCAGCTACTTCCTTCCCAGTCTCCAAACACCTCAAGCACTGCAGTTCCATTCAGTGCCTGTCTTCAGGCACTCCTGTGTGTCCAGAATCCCCTTCTCCTCTCCTCATATCCCCTGTGAACCCTTTCCCATCATGCAGGTCCTGCTCCCCTAATGGGCTGCCTGTCTTAGTCTATTCCTATCATGCTGTGTCCTGACACACCATCAACCCACATACTCACCTGAGGGGAGCACAGTAATTCATCCCCACAATTCAACTAGCATGTTACTTTTGCAGATGTAAATGTGAACTAGTGATTCCAATTCCACAACAAACCAGAGACCTAAGAGCCTGTGACCATCCAAGCCTGGTCATGGAACTCAGAAGCAAAAGACACCATCAAGACACCAGGTGCAGGATTTTTTTGTTTTTTGTTTGTTTGCTTTTTGCAGTACTGGGGTTTGAACTCAGGGCCTCACATTTAGTTAGGCAGGTACTCTACCACTCGAGCCACACTTCAACCCTCAGATACCAGTTCTTACCTGAACTTTAAAGACCTTTTACTCCTGGCAGCTGCTCCACTAGCTGTCTTCAACTCACATCAAATAATGATTTAGCTATTCCAGAGCCCTCAGAAACCACCTTAGAAATGCTGTGTCTGGGCTGGCCCGCAAAACACTGCTGCTCTCTTTATACTTCATGGCAGACAGAAACAATAACCTCCTAAACGTGTCCACCTCCTCAACCTGAAAGTTTGTTGTTTTACATAGCAAAAGGGACTATGCAAATGTGATTAAGTTTAAGAATGATGAAATGCAAAGCGTATTCTGGGTTACGCAGGTGAGTCTGTCACCGGATTCATATCAGTGGATCCGCAAGCCAGAAAGATCTTGTCTGAGAAAGAATGCAAGAATGGACACAGAGGAGGCAAGCATGAGCTGGTTTATCAACGCAAAGCAAAGCAAATGTGCACTCTCCAGATGGGAGGGCGGGCAGGCTCAAGAAGAAGTGATGCATTGGAGGTCCCAAGACCTCAAGCTTTTATTGGGGTCTGCAGACTTGGCGGCAGTCAGTCCTGGAAAACTGGGTTAAGGTGTCATTAATTTCCAGAGACTGAGTTATGCGTTATCAACTCCTATATGTTGGGTGGGGGAATTCATGACCTTGGATGATCAGACCAGGCTGTCGTTTTCCACAGGCTGTGGGGACTGTGAGTCAGCAAGACCCTGTTGCATGTCACAGATGTCCTGTTAATGTCAGCAGGCCAGGATTTGATTCCTTGTTAACATACAAGTCATCTTTCTCAGCCATCAGATTGCCTAACTCCCTGCCTAACTCCTCTATCAGGCCCAATGTAATCACAAGGGTTCTTATAAGAGACAGACTGAAGGGTCAGTATTGGAGAAAAGAAGATGTGACAATGAAAGCAAGAGAAGAGAAAGGTGGGGAAGAGCTGTTAGACTGGTGATTTTGAAGATGGAAGAGGAAGGAGCTAAGGGCCAAAGAATGTAAGTAGCCTCTAGAGGCTAAGCAAGGCCTCCAGAAGCAGCCAGTCCTGCAACACCTTGATTTTAGCAGCTTACAACCCATTTTGGAGTTGACTTCCAAAACTATAAGATAATAGGTCATGTCATTTTAAGCCACTAAGCTCATGGTAATTTTTACAGCAGCAATTGAAACTTCAGCACTATAGATGAACTGGATGTGAACGTCACACACGCATGCACTGTCATTCTTCCCCTCCTGCAATCAGCACTGATCACACACTGTCACCTGTCCTCTGCACCCTGGCTTCAGGCAGGCAGGAAAACCTGACCCATCAGAGCTGCTGCTTGTGATGTTGCCACCCTAGAGGCATCTATAGGCTCACCTGGGGTTCATCTGGAGTAGAGATTGAGAATGAGGCTTAAGAGAACACACATAGGTATGTGTTCAAAGCACCCACTTTCCTACTGTGTGACCTCAGGCAAGTTTCTGAACTTCCCTGGGCCTCATTTCCCTGAGTTACAGGGCATTCGAATACAACTTCTTGGGAAGGATTGGTGTGGGGACTACAAAAGATGACATCTATTGTGCTCAGCATAGCATCTGACACCTAATAACTCCAAAGTGTCTGAGCCATCCTTCCTGAGAATATTCCTGCCTTAATAAATGGGAGAGGCTGAGTTGCAGGGAAGGTGACATGAGGGTACATGACGCAGATAAGGGTGCATCTCCTAGACAGGATGGTCCCCA